TATCTATATCTATATCTATATCTATATCTATATCTATATCTATATCTATATCTATATCTAGGTTCCTAAATAACATATTTTAATTGCAGATAAATCAATTTATAAATTATATATATTATATTAATCATGTATAGATGATGATGACGTTTTTTTAGGATATATTAAGTCAAACAGTCGGACTCAATCTTTAGCATTCCAATTTACTATATGTAAATGGTTAGATTTTTATATATAAACACAAGGAAGTATATCTTCCTGAAAGGACACGCCTTTGATTTATGTATATATATATATATTTTATTCTGCTGCAAATCAATGGAGGGTGCCAATAAAATTTTTAGTGAATTGAATATCTTGAGTATTTAGCTTTAGAAAATACAGTTTTACCCGATTTATCACATACGTAATGGTCATGCATATGTACCTAGATATATATCTAGACATTTGTATTTAATACGGTCCATACTTCAATTCTATGGCATTTTAACTACTCTGATTTCTAAGATACCAGAAAATGCATTTTCCAACTAAGCATTATAATTGCATTGAAAATTGCAGCAAAATAACGGTTGCTTTGTCTTACCTAATGAACTCAGGCGTGATTCCTTCTGCCCGTTAAATAATTTACCCAAAACAAAATAATTAAGGGCAAAATTCCAAGAGGATGATTTGAACTGCATTTAATATGCAGACACTTTGCTCTAATTGCAATTTCTTACAATGCGTTAAAACTGTAATGTATATACATAAATATATACATACATACATACATACATACATAAATATAAAACAATAATCAAGCATTGCTTAATATAATATGCGCAAATAATAAAGAGATAATTATATATAGCATATCAATATATGTAAATATACATATGTATCTAGCTATGTATATGTACACATATTATATATCCATTATCAAAAACCTCCATTTGGCATGTGCTTAGCTCACATTTGTTTTATCACATTTCCAAATTTCAATTAAGACCTGCATTAACAAATCGCAGCAGTTGCCTGGAATTCAGCCAATGGCAATGGCTGTGCGAGTGTGTGCGTGCGCGTGTGCGTGTGTGTGTGTGTGTGTGTGCATGTGTAAATAACGGCTAATCAAAACACAAATAATTATATTAGCAAGAGTGAGAGCTGGAGTGTGCTCTCGCTCTAAGCAAACATTGGAGACGTCTTCATTATCTATTATCAACTGTAATGTGTAAGACAATAGAACTGGGCCTGCATTAATTCTAAATGAAATTTTAATAAAAATACAATGTATGTCAGGTATCGATTAAACGGACCCAAGGCAGGTTAGGCAGGTTGACCAAAGAAGTCCCAGATGCTTCAGGCAGAGACTAAACCGAAGATAAAATTGGTTCAGTCGTAGCTCTTAATAAATATTTGATTACTCAATTTGGTATAAATAACAACGCAAAATAAAAGAGAAGAGCTACTGGGCAAAACATTAATAGAGTTATATGTAGCAAGATGATATAAGAAAATATTAGAAGCGAATAAAAAACAGTAAACTATACTACAAGGAACTTTTAATTAAGGCCCATGGTCAATTTGCCTTTGTATTTTATGCTAATTTCTATATAGGGTAATTCTTCAGAGCAGAAACAGAAAAAAAACTAGGACTAGAGTTGGACTAGATAGCGTCCAGCTGGTTGCAGTTGCCTGACCCAAGGCCATTTTGTAATCTGACAAATGGTTTCAAATTATAGCAGCGCCATCTAGCGCTCGTTTCGAATTGTGTGCCAAATGCAGTTTTGCGTGCGAAAACTGTTAAATGAATTATACAAAGTGGGAGTGAAACATAGCAAAATAGACAGATAGACTGACACACGCACATGCACAGCGACCTAGAGAGAGAGAGAGCAAGTGAGTGCCAGGGGAAAAGGCAAACAGAAGAGTGAGAGAGAATGTGCGAATGAGCGAGATAGCTATGGATGGTTGCTTATGTGAAACGAAGCAACGCAGCCTTCCCCTTTCCTCATACTCCTCCGCCTCCTCTTGTCACACCAGCAAACACCCGACCCCTCCCCCCGCCCAGCGCACAACGCCCACATGAACATTCTCTTGTGAATTCTACACGTACACACATACATACATATATAAAAGCAGAAACATGCTGAAAATGCTTACATAAGCGCCAAAGTGGGCACAACTGGGCGCTAGCTAGTGCGCAGCCAGCCTCCCCACACAGCCGCCCAATCATCCACCCACAAACAGCTGTATATATACAGGTGTGCGTGCATATCTGTGTATGTGTGTGTGTGTGTGTGTCAGCTGCATACATTAAACCGCAACAGCAACAGTAAATATTGAAAATTCCATATCCGTTTTGATGTCAACTCACGTGACAACAACAACAACAACAATAACAAGAGCAACATGCAAAAGATACCAAATTAATTAGTGACTAACAACTACCCTGTACACAGGGATATGTATAACCAAGCAAAACATGAACCAAAAATCGATAATTATCGATAACATACAAACATCAGTTTATATACAATATCTACATATACACCATATCTATGCACTATTATTAATATGCCAATTTGGCGAAGAAGCATTTTCTACAGGGTATAGCCAAAAAGGAGCTGGTGAGACTTAACCCAGGACATGCCCACATCACCCGTTCTCCCACTTCAACTTCAACTCCAGCTTCCAGCCGCTGCCTGACGATAAGAATATATAAAAAAAAAGAGAGAAGAGCGCGCGCTAAAACAAAAAGCAAAAAAAATACACATACACA